CTCTTTCAGACAGGTATGGCTGAGAGAATGGGGCTGTCCTCCCTCGCCTGACCCGCACTCCTCACAGGCGGGATGGCCTACGTGGGGCAAGCGAACAAGAACGCCACACTTCGAGGGCCCCACCCCAGCTCATGGCAGGGATGCAGCTACTTGAGGCAAGCCCCCACGAGGCTGTATCTGGAGCCAGCCCCTTGCTCATACAGTAGGTGTGTCACTAGGGGAGGAGCGCTCCCTAGCTCTGCCTCAGGGCAATGAGTTTATTTGGAAGAATTGCCTAAGGGCATCACTGACAGCAATGGAGGCCTCAGGGGGTGAGAAATTAGTAAGGGGAAGCTGGCTGGTCCATGATAACAAGTGAGTCAAGAAACCAGCCAGAAGTTTCACAGAGAGGACCAGGGAGTGAAACAGCTAAGGAGAGCCCTCTTCAGGTTGGAACTAAAATCAAAAGGGCTGGGCTTTAATTGGATCAAACTATGGAGCGCTTTATACCACAGGGCTTGGTCAAAACTAATAAGAGCAGCAAGGAGTGGAGGCTAACAGCTGGGTGTGGTGTCAGTAATGGCAAACCGACGGCACCTTAGTGGGGAGTTAAGAAAAAGGGCCCAGGAGAACCTGGCTGAAACCACAGGCAGGCAGCGCTAGGATCAGGGCGCCTACGTACTCAAGGCTGCCCCCTTGAGGCACAAACAGAGTGCACACACTGCAGAGGAGACCGCTCACCCGAGTCTTCTAACCAAACTACTAAGCAAATAAATTAGCAAATGAGCGAACAACAGCAATAGTCCCCAGACGGCTGTGGATATTAGTGTTCAGAGTTGTTGCAGTAGACTACCTGAAATGACCTGTTTAAAAAAACAAACAGGAACGTGTGACCCCTGCCCAAAAGAGCCGAGGAGGTCTAAATGTGGTTGACACTTTGCAAGCAGTCATTATAGTATATTCAAAGAACTAAAGAAAACCATGCTTAATGAAGTAGATGAAGTATGATGACAATATCTCATTAAGTAGAGAATATCAATAAAGATATATAAATGATGGAAAAATAACCAGGTGAGAAGTTTTGGAATTGAAAAATATTAACTTAAACCAAAAACTAAGTAATAATAAAAGGAAACATGATATATTTATTCACTAATATAAAAGGAAACTGCATAAAAATATGCACTTAATTGCATTATTGGGTTCTATAGCAGACAGAAATACGACATAATTTAATACTGCAAAAATGAGATGGTGAGCAAGGAGGACACGTTACTAACCCGAATCCAAAGGAAGAAATGAAGAGGATCAGGAGTAGTAAGAAAGAAAGCTAGAATGATAGATCTAAACATGAAATGGCTCTCCTTTCTTCTCTCAATTTCTTTGAAAGTCATGCAAATGGCAAAGTGGCAAAAGTTGCTTCTACTTAGCAGTAATTATGTGTGAATGAATTAAATAATCCAGTCAAAAGGGAGACAATGGCAAAATGAATAACAAACCAACTTTACCCTCCCTAGGAGAATATACAACTCTCTAGACTCAAAGGCACAACCCAGCCGAAAGTGAAAAGGATGGAAATGATCAACCATGGAAGTAGTAATCAAGAGAGAATCAGAGCGGTGATACCGATACCTGGCAAGACAGAGTTTAAGAGAAAAATTGTGATCAGAGACAAAGAGAGTCATATAGTGATACAAGAATCAATCCATCAAAAAGATAAAACAGTTATAAACATATATGTACCTAAAGACAGAGGCCTGAAAGGCAAGAATTTTAAACAGATAGAATGGAAGAGTGAAATAGATGATGCAACAACAGTAGCTGGAGACAGCACAGATGGCAGAGACCCAAAGCAGAGAAGACTGGATAAACAGCACCATACATCAGCCAGGACTGACACCCACGGAAGACGGTGGTGGACTCACACCTTGTCAAGACGCTGGAGAGTCTTCCAGCACAGACCATATGTCAGGCCATAAAACAAGGCTCCAAAAATTTAAAAGGATTAAAACATACAAAGTATGTTTTTTTGCCTATCATGCAATAAAATTAAGTCAGTAACAGAGGAAAATTTGGTAAAATCACCAATAAGAGGAAATTAAAAACACACCCCTAAAAACTACTGCCCAATGGGTGACTTGTGTGGTGATTGATACTTCAATCCAGTGGTTTAAACATGGGGTTCAAAGTAGACTTGCCCTTTGGAGCTGCCACTGCCAAGAACATGACGGTCACCCGGGCCTGCTGTCAGCCCCTGCGAGGAGTCAGCGCCTGCACATCGCCCAGATTCATAAGCTTCAAAGTTGGGATCTTGCCAGGTCACAGAGCCAAGAACTCAGAGCAAAAGAGGCCTCATTTCCCACCTGAGAAGTGGGCTGAAGGCAGAGAGGCACAGAAGTTCTTACCCGGGACTCCCCAGGGCTTAGCTGGAGGTGCCTATGGGGGGGGGGGGTGGAGGTGCCTATCTGGGTGGAGTTCTACCCAGCGTGGAGTGTGTACGCCTTTCATTGACTTCTTGCTGACTCCTTCACCCCCAGTGTACTAGGAACTTTGAGGGGCACCTGTGGGAGTTAGACGGGGAACCCTTCCACCAGGACTAGCTAAGGGGGTGGGACAGGCCCCCTGCTCCTGCTCCCTCCACTATACGTCCTCACGCTGCCATGACTCGCTCTGCTAGTGGGTCTGCCTCTCAGTTCACACACCTACAGTGTGTCTGGGAAGATCTTTAAAAAATCCTCTTAATGGCCCTCCCTGGTGGCGAAACGGGTTGTTAAAGCACAGCACTGAGAATCTGAAGCCACTTCCATATGAGTTCGATTCCCGCCTGCCGCCTGCCCCGGAGGAGACCACATGGCGAGCCAGACCTCTCATGACCCGCCCGCTGCTCCCCTCAGCAGTGTACTTCATCGATCTGCCTGTTCTGCTCCCCACTCTGTCTCTGGTGAAGCCTCTCACCGCCCCTGAGCCTCTGGCCTGTACCCCAGTTCTGTATGAATAAATAAATAAATCTTTAAAAAAAAAATCCTCTTAAAGCTTTGGCTTTCTCATCTATCATGGGGCACCCTAAAAATCTCCTTGCCGATTGAATGTGGGCTCCGTATTCCACTCTCCTTCCACCTTGCCCCTCTTCCTAAGCATATCAACGCCTAGCTTAAGACCTTCATGCACTTAATGACCCCCCCATACAAATCAGCTGGATATTACTCGCAAAACACCCCACATGCATCAGAAGAGAAACAGATCCATCCAGAATGGCCCAGGCCATTCTCTAGGAGTGGTCACTGACCACCCATCCTTCGTTTGGAGGAGATGGCTGTGGAGCGGGACACTAACCTCAGCCTTAGTCTGCTGTTTGAATGAGGAGGCGGCCCTACCTTGTGGGGCAGGTGTGAGCACTCCAGGTGTGCGCTTGGCCCACACTAGGTGCTCAGCATTCAAGTGACGGCCGCTCCCCATGCAGAGATAGTGCACGTTCGTCGTGAGCATCCTCCCTAACGCCTGCAGATTCTAGAGAGCAGCAGGTCCAGGATTAGGGACAGACAGTAGGCAGGAGTCTTTTGAACATGTCTCTAATTGCGGACACAGAGTGGGCTGGAAGGCAGTCCCGCTCCTTCCCGAAGCATGCTGCTTCTGGTACCAGCAGCTAGAACAAGGCTGCTGTTTCTTTATCACACAACGGCAGGTCAGTGTGCAGGCTTTCCCTTGCTAGCCCCTCAATTTTAGACAAATGTACCTCTCTGGCCATCTGCAGGGCTGCTTGCTGTTCCCCTGTGCCCCAGGCTACGGCACGGACGGGGACCGGAGTCCTCTGTAAACAGAGCGCTCCAGGCAGAGCAGAGCAGAGTCACACGACACGCACCTGCTGCCTGTCTCACCTGGAGTTCATATACAAGGCACAATTTGAAAGAAGCCATTCTGTGGTGCCTCGGGGCTCAATGAGGCCTGAATGCAGGTCAAAATGAAGGTGAGGCTTTTTTTAGATGAAATATTGATTTAGAGTATGAATGCCAAGAGGTGGGGCAGGCCTACGTGCCTAGCACATGGCTTGGTGATTTTCGTCCCTCTGAAAGTTCACCTGTCTGAAATCAAAGCTCAGGGCTGATGGCAACCGTCTCTAATTGTGGCTTTAGCCGGTTTTGCTGGTACATGTAAGACACAGGCCACTTGTGAGGGAGGCCCTTTCCTGTGCCCTGGGGCTGTGTTGGAGGCCCGGCTCTCCCTTGGGGGTGCGATCTCCCCATGCAACTGTTGAGTGAGGACAGGAATGCATTTCCAGTGGGAGCTAAGTTCTCTTCTTCAGGGCATGGAAGCAAAAGCAGAAAGTCCTCTGGGCAGGAATGGTGAGACTGGCAGAGGGATAGCAGATTTAGGGACGGGAAGGGGCCCCATTTTCTACCATTCTTGCTCAGACACTCCGCTGCCCCTGCTGGGATCTAGAGACCAAGAGTTATTGGGTCACCACCAGAAAACACGAGACTTATTTCTGAAAGAGAAATGGAAAGCAAACAGGTTTCTAGATCACAAGTCTACTAGGTGAGTGGGTGAGGAAGAACTGGCAGGTACTAGGGGCTCTGGGGCTAGGTGGGAGGAGGTGGGTGGACAGGCCCCTCGGCGCAGGAGCTGCTGGGAGTTCAGTGAGCTTCACACTGGTCCTGAGCCTGCCTCCCGGGGGCCAGCTCAGCCTAGTGCCTACCCCAGCTCCTGAGTTGAGAATGAGACTTGGGGCGTGGAATGCCGGCATGGTACCAGTCCTGAGCCAGGCTGTGCGTGGCCGGGGCTGTGCGTGGCCGGGGCTGTGCGTGGCCGGGGCTGTGCGTGGCCGGGGCTGTGTGTGGGACCGAGTGGGGCTCTTGTGTTCCTTTCTGGTCTGCGCAAGAGAGCTGTTTGTCTTTGGCTCTGCTGCCTGCCTCATGTGGCTGTTGCTGGACGCAGAACGAGACGCGTGACTGGCCCCTTGAGAAGCAGGGGCTCCTAACCCAGGAGCCGCGGCAGTCACGCCGGCGGGAGGGCGCGGCACTGACCTCGGATTCCGACGCGTCCACCGACTTCTCCTTGAGGTTCCCGCTGTCGCTCAGCGCCGCGCCGTTGTACTTCTGGTGGATGTCCTCGTCCGAGTAGTGCAGCCCGCCAGGGCTCGGCCGTGGCGGGGACCTGCACGAGAGCACGCGTCCTTCAGGGCCGCCCTGCCCCCGGGGCCAGCACCCGAACGCCAGGGGAACACCGCCTCCGCCCGCGCTCCGGTGCTGCCGCAGCTTCCAGTGACACCCACGTGAGGGGTGACAGAGTGGCCAGCCTGCGCGCGGGCGCGTCTCCCTAGGTCACTGCCCTCAACACGTGACAGTGCCCTCTTTTGCTGTCTCGACACGTGGATTTAAAGTATTTCTAACCCCTGCAACCTGCCCCCTGGACTCAACGCTGCCCCTGCTGGATGGATCTCGTGGGTGCCCGGCAGAAGTGGGCTCTGGGGTTACGGCTGCTGTATCCCCACCTGGTCCCGTTCTTTTTGGAGAAGGTGTTCTTGACATTGAGGTGGCGGCTGTTGAGTTCTAAGGCAGCGAATCCTCCGTTGTCCAGGGTCACGGACTCCTCCATGTTGGAGATGCTCTTACCTGCGGTGGGGCCGGGAGAGTGCACAGGAGCGTTTAGTGACTGCCGCTGCAGCTCCCACCGGCCAGAGCACCCCAGCCTGCAGGGCTCACTGAGTGCCTGCTGAACGAACCCCAGGGCTTGCAGGCCTGCTGCAACTTGCAAAGAAGTCAGAGCCAGGGAGAAAAGCTATGGACTGATGACAATGATGGAGCAACATGGTGAGGGGAGCGTTTGGGGCTTACTTTGCCTGGCACCAAAATACCAATATTCTTACCAGTATGTTATGATAAAGTATTCGAAACACATACACTTTTTTAAACCAGGGAAATGAATATTTAGGAATTTTTAAAATAAAAAAACACCTCATGGTCATATCACAAAACGGATTTATAAAGGGCCAGAAGCAGAGGGCACGGGGTTTCTTCTTCAGATCGAGAGAATGTTCTAGAATCTACTATGGCTCTTGGTTGCACATATCTGTGAACCAACTAAAAACCACTTTTAAAAGGTACATTTATAAGTACACATCAAAACACATTTTAAAATACATCAGCAGATCAAATGAATAACACACTTTTTCAGCAGTTTTCCGTGATGACCCATTTCACCCCGCTTAAATGTCCCACGCTAGGGCTGGTCACCCCATTCCCTCCACCCCCTCACCACCCTGGGGGTCCTGTCCCCAGAAATGCTCCGGACTTACTCACCCCCTTCTTTGACATCACAGTCAAATATTTTGAGACCAGAGAATGTCCCCGTTCACCTGAAGGAGCAGCTTCCCCTTCTCCTGCCTCTGTTGCCCAGGGTCCTGTACCCCGACTGTGACCCCCACAGTGCTCATCCCGAGACCGTGTTTCTCACTTACATACTAGCTGACTTCCTGCTGGCTGCCCGTGTCTCCCCTACTGGACCGCACACTCCGTGAGGCGGGGCTCGACCACCATGCTCCCACCGCCACCCGCAGGGCAGTGGAGGGCACACCGGGGGCTCCACGCTGGGTGCTGATCCACCGCCCCTCCCGAGCCCCCGGGGCTCCCCTCTGCGGGGCCTAGCACGGGGTCTGGCACAGTGCTCTGTCTGCGTGCCACAGGAAGGCCCGCGGGGCTCAGAGAGTGGCAACGAACGACCAAGCTGCTCACGATAGGGATTTGGGTTGCTGGGAGGTGACAGGCGGACACCCACATTAGAGGAGGTCGGGGAGGATGGCAGCAGGAGGCAGGACAAGAGGGTCAGGAAGAGCGACGCTGTCATGGCAGAGGTGTGAGTTCTGCGCGTCTCCCGGCGGGAAGGCAGACATGCCGGTAGACTAGTATTTTGTATCTAGGCTTCAATTATGATGTTAAATTAAGACTCCAGGGTGAGGCGGAGTGTCAGAAGCTGCAAGCTCTGTCTTCGGGTCTGTGTCCCAGATGGACAGAGAGAGCGAACGGCAGGGAGACTTCCTATGCGCCAGGCACAGGGTTCTGAAATGGCATTAACGCGGGAAAGTGACACGCCGTCCGTGCGTTGTAAATCCCGTAGGAATAAAATCTGATTCTGGAACACTTGTTAGAAGTGAATTTATACAGAAAAAAATACATCCTTTCTTTGAGAGATGAAATGCTTAACATTACGAAGGCAAATGGCAGGGGCTTAAGGTGCCTGGTTTTATGAACCCTTCCGGCAGAGGGACACAGTGCCCACGGCTGGGGTGGGGGGCCCGGGGGCTCATGCAGCGGGACTCATCAGGGCCCACCTTTTTAGGAAGAAAGGACGAGAGCTGATATGGGAGAAGCTGCAGGATGGAGCCGGCGCATGAAGGGCCTTTCCTGCTAGCGTGGCCACTGGGTCAGTGGCGGCCGAGCAGGGGTGGGGAGACCAAGGCCTAGAGCCCACCACGGGCGCAGGGAACGGGCACTCCGGCGCTGCAGACTGCTCCTCCTTGCGCCTTCTCTGTTACACTCCTAGCCAGGAGGTGATCGCTGTTCTGTCTCCTGGAAGTATCAGTCCCTGACCTTCCCGAAGTGGAGTCCCACTGGATGGTCGTTTGCCCGTTTCTCTAATGATGACAATTCATTCAGCAACCGACATTTATTGAGCACCTGCTGTATGCAGGGAGCTTGCGCTGAGAATACCATGCTGAACCAGCCCTCAGAGGATCACAGTTGGAATGAGGAGTGTGAGGCAAGGCACACATTTCTGGAACATTCCATGAGTCATGGCAACATTTCTGAGATGGGTCCTGCTTCACTGTTTATGGAGCACCTAGAAGCACAGTGTTTCAGCTGGATGCACTGTACTTTCTAATCGCCTTCATAAAGACCACTTCGTCTGAGCAACAGTGCGCAGGAGGAAACTGAGATTCAAAGAGACCAAACGACATCTCCGTGGCATACAGCCAGTGGATTGAGGGCAGGGCCAGGGCTGGAATCTGGGCCAGAGCTCTGGCTTGTTTTGGAGGTTTACTGCCTCCGAGCATCTATCTCGCCACCCACAGGCAAATGAACGGGAAACATGGCTGCTGTCATGACAGACCCAGGAGGGAACACCCAAGCGAACACCGATTTGAGCGTGTGCAGGGGAGAGACCCACCTGTGCCGCAGTTCTTGTACTTCTTACTCTGCCGGTGCAGGACCAGGGTGAACACTGCCAGCAGGAGGAGGATCAGGCTGGACAGCGCCAGCACCAGCAGGAACCACCACTCCTCGTAGAAGGGGGCGTCCACTTGCGCTGGGGGGGCACAGGGACACGTGGCACAGGCGGCAGAGATGCCCCGCCCCTGAGCGGGAGGGGGCTTGGGGGGGAGTGTCCAGGGGGAAGGCTGAGAGGCACATCCGCAGCTGCAGCAGTGATGCAGCCCCTGCCCGGCCTCCCCAACCTCGCGTCGGGGGCAGGGTGGGCTCGGCAGCTTCCGGGATTCAGCAGCAGGGTGCCCCCCTCTTCTCTGTGGGGTCTGGTGTGGGTGCTGCCCTCCCCTGAGACCTCCCCACCTTCCACACTTACATCTCGGGATTTCACCTGCTGACGAGGTTGAAAGGAGGAGGAGCAAGCACGCTTGGGCTGCCTGATGGCTCCCTGTGCTGGTGCCCTCCCAGACAGCTCCCCAGGGCACCGGCCTTCCCATCACCCCTCGCCACTGCCCGCTGGGGGGCCTTGCCCCTTACACCCCACTGCAGCCATTTCCCAGCTCTTCCCCTTCATGCTGTCTTGCTCAAATCCATCCCGCTATGGCAGCGAGGAGAAGGTCTTCCTAGGTGGAGATCTGTCGCCCCCCTCCTAAGACTCCCCGTCAGGACACTGTCTAGGCCCGAGGGGCCCCACGGTCCTGCCCTCCTGAGCTCTGGCGAGGCTCCGGGGCCTCCTGCACCAGCCCAGGGCCTTAGGATGGGGTGGTATTGACTCCCCACCTCCAGCAGGACCGCCCAGAGCAACTGGCCCCACCTGCAGGTATGTTTTTAAGAAACAAACAGAACAGGTTTCATTTAAAAGTTGCTTGGAAAAGGGATACTCTGCTTCCTCGTGTTTTATTCTGTTTCCAAGGAACTGCTAAGTGGGAAATTGTTTCTTTGAAAGTGCGGGATGCCCTGAGGCCCCACTCAGAGCTTTCCTCCTGCCTCCCTGCAGGGGAGCTGCTTCCCAGCCCCAAGCCTAGGCCTGAACAGGAAGCCTGTTACCGGAGCCCAGAGGCTTCCCAGTGGAGGAGACCCACATAGAACACATCTGCCTTATGTGATATACCTCAGCGCACAGTTGTGAAACGTGCACACTGGAAAAAGGAGGGGGTTTGCTTTAGAGGATGTGACAGAACAGGATTTCTGAGATGACAGCATTTTGAATTCAAAAGTTAAAGGCTGTTTCAGGCCTCTCCAAGCCCACCCCGTGGAAGTGGCCTAGAATGGGCAGAGGAAAGACTCTGGCTATCCTGCACGGACCCACCCCAGGGCAGGACACCCCCCTGCTGGCTTCAGGAGGGTGACTGAGGCTGGCTCCAGGAGTGGACAGCCAGGGCCAGTGTTTGGATGCAGTGGACTTCAGGGAAATGGCAAGCTACAGGCCCTGGGCTGAGGGGGAGGCCGCTGAGGTCTCACGCAGGCGCCAGCCTCTGTCCTCAGCTACCTTCTGTGAATTAAAAGCTCTGTGCATTTGGAATTGCTTTAGATCGATTTTTCATAGATGAGCCAAGTGAGGCGAATCTCGGGTTGCTGAATTGGGATGAGGGGTGCTTGGTTTCTTCATTCTAATCTCTATTTGGGGTATGTTTATATTTTTCATAATGAAATGAAAGAAATGAGGGAATTTTTGTTTTTTGTGAGATCTGATTTTGTAGACGTGCTGGTGGGGCACTGAAGCCCCTCACTGAGCTACCAGGAGTTAGGGGGAAGGGCCCTAACCCCACAGCTGCCTTCTTTTCTCCAAGCTCATGCAAAGAAAGGATGAGGGATGTTTTCAATGCAAACAGGTCTAGTCAATAGCTTTCTTGCTCCTAAGGAAGAGCAGCAGTGGAGGCGACACCGTGCTTCCCTTGGGTTCTGCCGAAAGTCTGACACTTCTTCCAAGCACCGGCACCCCCCGGGCCCCCACCCCAACAGCTTCCCGTTGTCAGCCTGCCTTCCAACCCCAAAAGCCCCTCTAGAGCCCTGACTCCCAACCTTGGCTGCACCTTAGAGTCACAGTAGTGTTGAAAATAGTCACTACCCCCAGACCTCTGCCCTAATAGATGCAATCACTGGGGAGGGGTGGGGGGTGGAGGGAATTTTCCTGAGTGCAGGCAGAGGTAAGGCCGGCGCCAGGGAGTGAGTCTGGGCCAAGTCACCTTGCTTTCCACCTCTCCCTCACTCGCCCCCTTATCCCTGGATTATAACCAGAACTTGTCTCTGCCGCCCCCTCTGCCTCCTTCATTGGGAGGATTTCCCTTTGCCTGTGACAACTCCCTGCAAAGCCTTCAAAACTCAGACGACCGCCCTCCTCTGAGAAGTCCCTCCTGAGGCCCAGGCCGTCCGTCTCTCCCCACCTGTGACACCCAGTTGCATCAGTCTGCTGCCACCGCAGGGGAAGAGCCCTGCGCCCTGCATCAGGTGCTCTGCTCCTCAGCTTTGTGGGGCTGCGTCAGACACAACCCAGTGTCTAGCACTAGCTGGGAAATTTTGCTTTTCAAACATTGCAAGTGGTTCCCTGGTGAGGGTGTCTCCGCTAACAAGAGGGGCTGGAAGCTGGGGCTCGGGAACACTGGCACACAGAGAAGGCTTGCTTAGCTCAGGTCAACTGTCCTGACTCTTGTACATATCTTGTACACAATGAGGGGGAAAAATGAACAATCACTTGAGAACAGTGTGGTGAGGACAGGCTTCTGACCCTGGGCGCTGTAGGGGCCTGGCGGGGCTACTGTGGGCCTGTAGGGTGCCAGGACTCCCACTGTTTTCTCTGTCAGAGACTGCCACAGTGCTTGGCCTCTTCATGATTCTTCCCCACCTTCCTTCCTGACGCAGGAAGCAGGAGCCCCTCCCCTGAGCCTCTCCGAAGGCTCCCTACCTGACACAGCTGTCGAGGGGCTGCTGGGCTCCCCAAAGCCCACCTCATTCACAGCCACCACCCGGAACTCGTACGTCACTCCTGGCCGGAGCTTATCCAGACTGAGGGTGTAGGATGTAGCACTCCGCGGAATGTCCTTCACGAACATATCCCACAGGCCTTCATCTGCAGGAGAAGAGGGACACGATAGAGGTCAGAGGTGCTTTTCTCTTGAATTTAAGCCCCTTGCACTGGTCAGCTCAAGGCGCCCTGGCCCAAGACTGGTGGCCCAGCGGCCGAGGCCGTGGTGAGCTGCACAGGGCTGGGGGCAGAGGGAGGGAGACACTTCTCACAGGGAACACACGCTGCCCCAGCTGCATTCTGGGCAGTGGCAGTTCCCCAACTTACCCCTTGCTCCTATCACCATCCCACGGGACCCCAAGCCCGCCCCTCTGGTTTCTGACTTGATCTCATGTCTGGCTGAGGATTCTTTTGTCCCTTCTGGCTTGCTGCTGTCCCGGATGCACACACTCCCCTTCATAGCCCTCTGACCCCACCTCCCCGAACCCCGTGACTCCCCCTCGGGCTCCTGCCGTCAGAGCTGGTGCCCGCACACACCAGCCATGGTTCTGAGTGCTGGGTCCACCTGCTTTCTAATTGGAAATGACAGTTCAGCTGCGGGTCAAAGAGAAAATGTTAAACTGCAGTTTCTTTCACCACCTAGCAGCCAGTCTTGTGAAGATTCAGCTCAACTTCCACACAGCCTTGCGAGGTAGCTGTGGTGCTTGGTGCCACTTTTCAGTGTCCACAACTGGGGCCTTTGCTTTGGGGGAGCTGGCATGGAGACGAGGAATGTCGTGGGAATCTCGCGTGCTCCCAGACACCCCTGCCAGGGCCTTTCTCTCAGACCGAGGATCCTGATTTCAATTCTCAAACTAAACTCAAGTGCTGCCCTTGACTTTGAGCGTCCTTTGGAGGCTGTAGCATCAAACCTGCCTTAAGACCATCTTGTTTTTATGTCTATGCCCGGTTGCCACCAAAGACAAGTATGAGTTAAAAAAAAAAGTTGAATTTTGAACAGAAACTAATATACCCTTGTTCACAGAGAATTATTCCCAGCATAGAAGCCACTCAAAAGTCTATTCAAGGATGATTGGAGAAACCAAGTGTTCATCAGTCTTGAGAAGGAAGGGGGATTCTGACACATGAGCAGCATGGAGGGGACTGGAGTACATTTTTAAAGAAGAGTTATTTGTTTATGCATACAGAACTGGGGTGCAGGCCAGAGGTGCTGGGTGAGGGATGAGAGGATTCACCAGACAGAGTGGGGAGCAGCGCAGGCAGATCTACTGAAACACACTGCTGAGGGGAGCAGCAGGCGAGACAGGAGAGGTCTGCTGCGCCATCTGGGTCAGCTCCCTGGCCGGGGATCGATCTCGCGCTGAAGCCACCAGGGAGGGCCCCTAGAGGACATTTTTACTATGTGAAAAAAAAGACACAGAAGCATATTTAATGAGGAGCTAGAGGGGTTTCTGCCCCAGAGACGGAAAGTAGAAGTAGAAGGGGCTACTCCCAGGCCTGGGGAGAGGAGGCAGCAGTCAGTATTTAGCAGGGACAGCTTCACTCTGGGAAGACAAAGTCCTGTGGGTGGCAGTGAAGATGGCGCATAGTGATGGGAAGGCCCTCGTGCTCCCGATCTGCCCACCAAGGAAAGGTTAAAAGGGGAAATTTTATGATAGATATATCTGGCCACAATAAAAGCATGTATCAAATTTCTTAAACCCTGTCACACAGGAAAACAACAAAAAATTGAACTTAAATCCGGAAGAAAATTGGGACACAGAGAGAAAGGCAGAAGTGCTTGGATGAAGGGGCAACGACCACAGCAATATTAACCATTACGAAGTCAGAGTGAGAGAGCCTCGGTGCTGTGTGACTTTAGACAGAGTACTTAACCTCTCTGTGCCTTGTTTATAGAATGGTCACAGAAAAGGAACCTGCATTATAGATTTGCTGCTGGGATTAAATTGGTTAATATTCACGAGGTGCACAGGACAGTGGCACACTCATAGTACCCCCAATACTGCATGAGCATAAACAAAATGGCAATCTAATCCCTGAGGCTATTATAGGCCAGTAAAAAAATGGGCTTAGAGCCCGAAACGTTCACTTGAAGCAGCAGTCCTTCAAGAATTATACTTCTTTTATAGGTTTAGGTATGTGATCTTTTAACAAGAGCAGGATCTCTGGAGAGAAAAAGCACACCTGAATATGAAATGCAGTGTGCTGACAGCTTTATGGGGAGCGAAGGGTTATCTGGAAACCAACTTATCACACACATTGAAACACCAGATATGTTCAAGTGAATTAGCTCCACAGTAAACAGAAGGAAAATTGCTAGTGTTCAAGTCTATATTTGCATAGGATTTAGAGTTTGCACCTGGTAAGTCCTTAGAGTCACAGGTTAATGAAGGACTGGGTGTTCATGAGATTTTAAAGGTACAAATCTCCGTACAGCAGGAAGGTAGAACAATGACTATTTATTTCTAAATATCCACATTTATAGTCACTTCTCACCACGACATCCATTATCACTAATAATGTCAAAATGGCAAGCTATAACTTAAGCTTTTTCTTCCTAAAATGTTGAGGTTTGCAAATGAAATGATTGCTACATGTGATTTATATTCTGGCTCTGCGCGAGAATGATCAGGAGTAGCAGGCACAGAGGGTGCATTTTCTCCGCATGCAGCGACCTCAGCCTAGGAACCCCGCTGCCCTTCCTCTCCACGGCGTTCCTCCTCTATGCATTCTTTCCACAAGACCTAAGGACTCACTCTTTGGTCAAGTTCCACCCCTCAGGGAATCAGAAGAAACGTCTAGTCTCCATGAGCTATGCATGATCTATGGGCAGGGGTGGAAGAAAATCTGCAAGGTCTTTGCGCCCTTTCCAGCCTCAACCCTGGTCCTGCTTCAAAGAAGAAATGGTCGCTTCTACCAATGGGCTTTCGATCCCTTGTCACCCTTACCGAGTGGTTTGGGCTCTTGAGCTTTCCAAGAATTGGATCAATATGTCCATCTGATCCACCTCCTCCACTGCTGCACCCCTATAACCTTTCTCAAGGCCTCGTACAAGTGGACGTTTAGTAAATAACCACCAGCTTCAGCACTTCTTTCGGTGCTTACTACAACAGGTCAGTGTCACAGGGGCTTGAGTGTTGAGTGAACGGTATGATATTTTTCATCTAAAAAGATACACGATTTTATGCTGTACAGGAGACAAAAAAAAAAAAAAAAAAAAAAAAAAACCAACCAGGCTCAAACTAGATGCTACTTAAAACCATTGAAATCAAGGGACCAAGCGTGTGGAAGGTGTTCTCTGACATTCTGAGTAGGTCTCTGCTTCTGGAGTGGCTTTTCTGAATGTCTTTGCATTAATGTTTCTGTAATGCTCTCCTACTACAGCAGGAAAAAATTATTTCCCTTCTTTTGCCATCACCTAAAGGCCACATTTTATTTTAAGCACTCAGCCATAGCTCTAGGAGTGTGTGCATTTTTCATAAAAACATTTTAAAATATTGATACAGAATCTCAGCACAGAACGATTTATTTAGCAAATCATTTACACTGAAAAGTGTCGGGGTGGGGGATCATACCAAGAGAATTTCCTTCGGAATTAACAGAAGAAAATGTTCACATTTTTATTCTGCCTAATTCTTCCTTCCCAAAATCAGCACATTCAGCACTCTGGATCTCACTAGCAATTCACTGGGCTATCTGTCCACACTAACATTTATGTTATGGTCATGAGTGGGTAGGAAAACTCGGGCGGCCCTTAAAGCGTCCACTCTGTTTCTCCACTGTGGATTGTTTTTCTCATTTGTATTATGCTGTTAAATATCTCAATAAATCAACGATGGAGAAAAGTATCTCTACAAATTAGGGGGAAAAATAGCATTACAGAACTATTAACCATAATGAGATTTGTGCAGCTGATTTCCACGCGCCAGGATAATCCCCAGCGCCTGGGTTTCCATCTCAATCAAAATTTGAGAGTAGAGCAGCCCTGTATTTTTTAAAGCCACCCCTGAGCCTTCCTTTCAGCCAGCTCTCAGACCTCAGGTAGTGCTCACTGCTGGGAAGTGGAGCAGAGCCCAACCTGGCTTTCCCTTCCCTCAGTGGAGCTCCTGGGGGCCATCCTGGGAAAACCTATGATTGCCCTGAAGATCAGTCTGAGCTGAAGATCAGTCTTTCGAGATGATATGCCGGATGGCAGGCGCCTGGTGGCTGGTGACTGTCCCTGCTGCAGTCAGGGCTTTGAACTTCCTGGGGGGCAACATCAGCCTTCAGGCTGCCGGATCTTGATATCTGTGTGGACAGGGGTGTGTGGCAGCAGAGTGAACCCAGTCATGTGTCTGCTGGGCCCCCACTATCCTTTGACACCTCCTTCCTGAAACACTTGGAAAATGCCGCTGCACTCAGAAAGGCAGGAAACCCGCCGAGGAATACACTTTGTCAGCTACTCCTGTTTGCTGCCACACGCTGCTCACATGCCTGAAATCCCGTCCACCTCAAGAGGAAAGCTGAGTGAGAATCCCAGCTGGTTGGTCATTCTCTAGAGGGCAGAACCTCTCTGTGTTTGCTGCCTTTATTGCCTTATTTGTCTACTCGGAAGGTGGACGAGTGGATAGTACTGAAGATCACTGATGAAAGAAATCTTTTCCATCAACTAGGTTTTGAGGTCGTACACAGACTGTCCTGGAGAACAAAGTGAGTCAGTTTAACCTGTTGGCGCCAGCATCTTCCCCACCCACGCGGGAGGAGGCACCTGTGTCCCAGACAGTGTCCTAATAAACATCGAGACATGAACACCTCCTTTCGGAATTGAGAGGGAGCCCAGATCAGGCACATCGGAGGGTTCATTGCTCAATTTATCCCCGAACACCCAGACCCGAGCTGTGCGCTGCAGGTACCAGGGCCGACGCCACGCCAATACAAAAGTTTGATTTCATGGACAATTACACAGGGTCTCCATGCTGAATGGAACTGTCACTCCAGCCTGGGATTTCTGGTTCCACTAACTCACACAACCAACAACTGGACTGTCAGCCTGCAGCTCTGAGCAAACAGAAGCCTGCCAGTTGTTTATTTCTTCACCAGTGCCATCTCTGTGTGTAGAAACGGTCAATCTGGGTTCGAAACATAACGGAAACAGGCGAGGCTTAAACAGAACCATAGCTGATAAAAAAAATTACCCTTTATCTGATCCTTGCTTAATACAGGAGCTAAAACCATGAACGGGTTTAAATGCAAAGGAAGCCTGTGATGGGCACTGACCCCAGAAAGAGCCGGGGTGCAAAGCTGACAAGCTGTCAACGACTGTGGTTAGGAGAGACAAGATGTGAGCGGCCGGGCAGAGCTCGAGTCAGTGCTGCAGCTGCAGCCTTTGTGCTGGATTTGCTGACTTGGGGACTTCTGTGGATTTTAAACAGAAAAATACTGATTTGGAAAAATACTGGTTTTCATCTCTGTTCAAATGGAAACTCCCATGGCCAGAGCCCAGAAATGAACCAAATGAACGGGGAGGGACCTGGGAGCCTCCCAGCTGCACTCCAAGTGGACAGGGGAGCATCCCGGGCCTGCACCCAGTGTAACCAGCTCTCCTCTCCCGGCGAAATACATTACTGTGAAAAAAGCAATACAATGTCTGCTTGCACTGGAAACATCCTAAATATGTATTTCATGGCTGCTTTGGAGAGGAAAATATATTTATAGTTCCTTTAGTGCCATTCTAGTCTATTGTGTAAATATGTAAATTAGGCTTCGTGATCTACACAGTAAAATGCCTTGGGATAATTTGTGTAAATAAATCATCTGCATATGCCCACTGCACAGTTTCCGCCGCCTTCCAGGGAGCTTTGCAACACTGATCTGGAGGAAACGTACGCCCCGCCAGAGACATGAATCCTGGGCCAGGCCATCCCGAGGGGCCTGATGTCATGTCCCTGGCTCCACGCTCACTGACCCTCCCTTCTCCAGAAGTTTGACCCTGATGCTAATTTCCTCAGCTGCTGTTCAGTGCTGCGAACTGACGTTAGGGCAGCAATGGGGCTTTTCAGTGGAGTCTGAGGGGGTTAAAGTGAGGATGTGGAAGAGCGAGAGACTCTACTGCCATCTGTCTGGCTGCCCAAGCCTGCTGGCCACCCGACCACCATGCCGATGAGCTTCTTGCCTCCCAGGGATCAGACAGAGATTGGCTGGGTGGGAAAGCCAGGCTGAGTAGACAGCTGGGGCCCCAGAGCCACCCAACACCAAGTCCTCGGCCTTCCCAGACGCCAGGTGGGCTGGCGGTCCCTATGGAAAACGACCCTTCCAACGAAAAGCAGGACCCGTGCACCCGAACCAGGCTCTGTTCGGGAAACCACTCCCAGGCCTGGAGAAGTCTTGCCAGAGAGCTTCGGTGGAGAAAATGAGATGATACAGCAGTTAATGTTTTGTGTAATGAGGCCTGTAATAGATGACAGCTGAGATCCAAAGCCCTCAGGTACCGGCAAGGTGTTTAAATATTGACAATCCATAAAAGCATTTCATTTGCCTCGGAGTTGCTGCTGGCCTCAGCCACAGAAGGGAGGCGGTGCCTTTCTCGCCTTGCAACGACAAGACCGTGAGTCCAGCTGCCTGCCCTGATTCACTTAACAATCTGAAAGGGGAAATCGTTGGCAGCCTGTTTCCCAGTCTGAGTAGCAAAACGCAAGTGAAAGCAAAATCTTTAGAGATCATTGAAAAAGACAGCTCGTTCCAGGTCAGTTTCTTGTCATGTCTCAGTCCCCCGGGGTCATTTTCCACATTTGGTCCTGACTGCTGAGCTCAGACCTCTGGCTGACCCAGAAGCCTTCTAAGTTTGGGCAAGGTAGGTCCTCCGAGGCGCAGAGCTCAGCGTGAAACCCTCGCTGACATGACATCCAATTAGTTCTTATTCTCAGCGCCTTGCCAGCTCTCTCCAGCTGCTCTTCTAACCAATAGGCTCCCTGACTCGTCATTATGGAGGATGGGTGTGCACATGATAACTGAGGAGAATTTAAATGGCTCCCCAGGCAAGCCTGCGAATCAATACCTTATCATTTCTTGGAAAGTGCTGAAATGTGTTCACTAGTGTTAAGATTCTGAGCCCATGCACCGTGTCTGGCTGGTGATGTGTTACATTCCCCATAGGCTGATCTCTGACATGAAAATGCTCCTTTCCAAGATGTATTGGTGCACTTGACTGAACATAGCTGAGGCATCTTGAGAGATCAAGGAATGTGATCTTATTTGGAAATAGGATCTTTACAAATGTCATTAGTTCAGATGAGGCCATTTGGGTGAGCCCTAAACCAGGCTGATTGGTGTTCTGATAAAAAGGGGAAATCTAGGCACAGACACACAGGGGGGGGAAGTCAAGTGATGGTGGAGCTGGAGATTGGGGTGATGCTTCCAGAAGACAAGGAATGTCAAAGATGGCCAGCAAAGCACCAGAAGCCAGAGGCCAGGCCAGGCACAGATCCTCCCTCATCCCCGTGTAAAGAACAAACCCACCTTCACCCTGATCTTAGACTTGCAGCCTCTGGAGTCGGGAGATGGCAAATTTCAGCCAGCCGACGCAGGCTACTTTTACAGCAGCCCTCGCTGACGGATACACCTACATTTAGAAGTGAAGGAAATACCAAGGTCTGTGAAAATAAAAATGTGTTTTCCCATCAAAGTTTGTGGATCTACTGAATTCTACCATGTACTCCTTGGTAGACCTGAGGAGTTTATAAAGTCGTGGAATGCCTACCCTGGGTTGGGAAGAAGACTGGGCTGTTCCCTGCGGGCCAGTGCAGCTCCGCAGGTTCTCGGTTTGGGCTCAGAGCTCCCCATTCTTATCCGTCTCTGAACGTGTTCTTGAGTCAGATGTCATCCGCAAAGAGCCAGAGCCGTAGTCTAGAGCTATCTGCTCTCAGAGGTGACGCTGGGAGGACGCTGCCTCCAGGACACACCGAGTGCTTTGCTCAACAGAAACTGTCAGGTCCCTCAGTCTGGACTTGTGCAGCTCCTAAGCCAGAGAATTTTTATATTGTCTTTAAACATGTGTCCATATATTTGTCATGTGTGTGGTTTCTAGAAGGCACTCATGACTAGTAATCTTTCAAAAGCAGTTTGGAGGGGGAGGAGAGATGTCTCTGACAGTGATGTATGCAACTTTGGGGATTGTTCCTCCTGGTCTAATAGCTTCTGTAAATATTAAACTAAAATGATTCTCAGCACTGCAGTCCATCTGCCAAAGGGGAGTGGGAGGGGCGGGGTCTGATGGTTCTCTCCCTGAAAGCTGCCTGGCATATGGTGCACTTCCATGCTCAGCTATTTGTGATTAACTTGAAACCATCTGAAGGTCACAGTGAATATGCTGTGTTGTCTGCGTCTGGTGATAGGCTCTAGCTTCAAGCAGTAATATCAGACTCGACCCGTTAGAAACTCACTTTCCAATAATGCCCACCCTTTGTTCTCACAGCTGATTGGGAGAAAGCAGGGGGCCCCTCTTAGCGTGGCAGGTGGGAAATGATCTCAGGCCTCATCTTCAGAAGCTGCAAAGATGCAGAGACGTGTCAGCCTTCCTATTAACGGGGATCTTCACAGTGGTCAGACATGGGCGGGACTCTTCCAGTCCAGTCTGTGACCCTTCAGAGCCCTGGTGAAAACAGCCTGGGATCTCGCTGGCAAATTGAAAAAGCTTCGAGCCCCAAGGTCCTCGTGTACATATCTGAGTGACAACTACCCTGCTCCTAAGCATGTGTAGCGTGGCCAGATTGTGAACATGGTGCCTTCCAGGATGAAGGTGTAGCTGTGATCAGGAAAACTGAAAGGAGAGAGAGGGGCCCCAACTCGAGGGAACGGCTGTCTCCTCACTCACTGTCAGGAGAGGTGGGTGTGGGCAGGCCAAGGCCCCGGGCTTCGAGTTTTACAGAAACCCCCTTTTACTTGGAGAGGGGGGACACCACGCCAGGGCCCAGAGGAGGTGCCCGGGGGGCCACCGCCCTACCTGAGGGCCTGGCCTCTATGACGTAGCCCGTGGTAGGTGCCCGGCCAGCGTTTCCCTCCGTCCACTGCAGGGTCAGGTCAGAGGCGGATTTGGTGACCAGGACATCTCGAGGGGACCCTGGAGAACCTGGGAAGAAAAGAAAAGAAGGGCTGACACTTGCCCTGGGGAGTGGGACGGGGTGAGGGTGGTTTCTGAACCCGAATCGTCAGGAGGCTTGGCACGTGCAGTGCAGTTCTCAAAGCGGAGGCTGACGCTGGCTCCCCCACGTGGCCGCAAGACGGTGGAGCTGACGGTCGAGCTCCTGGCACGCGGCGGCACTACCCCGCCTTGATCCTGCCGCCCTCTCCTTGGTAAGGGAAGGCCCGCCTCGTTTGGGGGCAACCTCATGGCTTTCTTCATGATGGGAAATGAACATCTTCTCGATATCTTATTTGAAAGATTGAATTCAATAACTTATTCCCCCCCCCCCCCCAGAAAACAAAAACCTTATGGGCTTTAACACCGAAGAATTTGTTCCTCTCTAGTTAACAGATCCACCTGCAGAAGTTCGCATTGACACAAGCTTTGAAGACATCCACAGTGCTGCTACCTTCTCCAGCTGGTGCCTGCTCGCGCGCACACCGCGGAACGCGAAGAGTGGGCACACCCGGCGCTGGAGGGCCCGCGAGGAGGGAGGCTCGCCGCCACTCGGGGAGCTGTCTGACAGCGGTGCGTGGGGGCTTACCCTCGGCTGGCCCGGCCGTGACATTCGCTTGCAGCTGGGGCCCGTAGGTGATGGTCCGCGCTTGCACACGGAAGAAGTAGGTCACCCCTTTGGTGAGATCCCGCACCTTTAGCCAGCGCTGCCAATTCCCTTTCACATCCACCGTCACCACCTTGCTCACCCCTAGGGCCGCCAAAGCAGAGACAAGAGTATGTTCAGAGGAGCAATCAGCACTGTCCGCGCCACTGTGATAACAGGGAAAACCCGCCCGCACTTTGCGCAGGAACTATTTCTTACAATTAGGAGGAGCTTAAGTGGTGATAATAGACAATTTTCAGCACAGATAAGTGTAATTAGAGTTCAAGCTTGATAAGTGAATGCTGACAAAGAACGAAGCAAACCTCAGAACACCATGGGGCGGGGGTAGCCCCCTGAGCCCACTAATGACGTGAGCCACCGAGGGAGAGCCAGGCGCAGGCGCAGACCCTGCAGGAGGGCCGGTCCCGACTCTGGGTCAGGCCCCCTGCTGACACTCTGGAAGGGGTGCCCTTCCCACTTGGACTTGAAATGAACAAAGCCCTGCGTCAGTGGTATGGTGACCAGAAGCTCCTTAATTTAGTTATGGGGGAGAGGAGAGATGGAAGAAGATGCAGAAAGATTTTTTATTTTAGTTAAAAGGTGGGCCCCCCCACAGGGGTCCCCAGCCTGAGTGGTTTGCCAACTTCTAGCCCAAAGGCCTCAGCATTCCTAACAACTTCTTCCCTGCATCTTGAAACAAGGATGAGGGAACATTTGTCATCACATACATCGATGCCTCGACTTAGGGAGCATGACAACATAGAGACCAAGTCTTCACTCATAGATATACAAATGAAGCAAAAGTCCTGCTGGTTGCGTTAAGTTGTATTAATTAGAAAATTGAGCTTTAACATTTTGGGAAGAAGATACATGTTGAAAATCACACAAACTGCACTTTCTAGAAGGGAAAACGGGGTTCTAAGTTTGAAGGCGATCCATTAAACAAGAACTAAGTCAAAGATTCTGCCAGCGCACAGACATCTGTCTCGTGGCTCCTCAGAGGACGTGTCAGGGGGAGCCATTCCAACACTTAGTGGTCAAAAGTGGTTTCCACATTGCTCAGGAGCGCTGGCCCTGCTGCTCCTGGGCCCTGCCGCTGGCCAGCCAGTCAGGGGTGAATGGTCGGCCTGCCCTGGGCTCCAAGGGCTGCTTGGTGCCTTCCTCCCAAGTAGAGAAAGCTGCTTCTGTAAAATGCATTCACCTTTCAACGTCACCAAAGCAAATTTCCCTAATCCTTCGGGTCTTCAAAATATCTTCTAGTGGGTTCACTGTTTTTATGCCATGGCATTTATTCAGCTAAGTTACCCTTTCAAAGTATACTTGACTGCTTTTTGAGTGTCCTCCAAATTTGAGTTTTTCTCAAATGCAGGGCCATTTCTGTCCAGACAGTCTGAACCCCTCTCCTCACACTGCTCAAGACAGGGGCTTCCAGGGTGACAATTTGCACACACAATGTGGGTCACCAGCAAATGGACAGGGTCCTGCTGGATATAAGATTACTCTGGGTGGCCTCCCCTTTCTTTGTTACAAAGTGCTTTCCTTCTCCCCAGGGCAAAACCAAGCCACACAGACTTGTGAATTCTCTGCCACCTGGAGGTAGAGCTGGTCTGGCCTTCCTACCATCCTGGACTATGTCAGATATTTATTTATTTAGCCAGCTTTTTAAAAAACATACTTCTTTTAAAAAAAGATTCATTTATTTATGCATACAGAACTGGGGTACAAGCCAGAGATGCAGGAGCAGCGAGAGGATTCACCAGAGACAGAGCAGGGAGCAGAGCAGGCAGACTGACAAAGTACACTGCTGAGAGGAGCAGCAGGCAAGTCAGGAGAGGTCTGCGGTGCCATGTGGGTCACCTCCTGGGCTGGGGGTTGAACTTGCGCTGAGGTGGCTGCAGCTGGCTTGCAGTACTGCGTCCTAACCCGTCGCGCCACCAGGGAGGGCCCTATTCAGTTAAATTTTTTTTTTAAAGATTTATTTATTCATACAGAACTGGGGTACAGGCCAGAGGCTCAGGGGCGGTGAGAGGCTTCACCAGAGACAGAGTGGGGAGCAGAACAGGCAGATCGACGAAGTACACTGCTGAGGGGAGCAGCGGGCGGGTCAGGAGAGGTCTGGCTCGCCATGTGGTCTCCTCCGGGGCAGGCGGCAGGCGGGAATCGAACTCATGCGGAAGTGGCTTCAGATTCTCAGTGCTGTGCTTTAACCCGCTGCGCCACCAGGGAGGGCCTATTCAGTTAAATTTTAAATCATACTCCACACTATAAGCCCTGGGATGCAATCACATAAAATATTATCTTTTAAAACAGTTTTTACAACGTAAAAATAGCTCTACCATTAAATCAGATTCCTTGGAACGTGCCTCAATGAGTGCTCATGTGGCCAGGTGCTGTGGGCAGAAGGTTGGGGTACCGTGCCATGGTCAGGGGCAGCCAGGGACTGAGGGGGCCGCCTCAGCATGCAGGTGGCCCGGGCCAGTTTCTGGGCTTGCCATTCCTCTGACTGGGGCAGGTGCATCTGAGTCAGAAGCTGGTCCTTGGTACTGCCCAGGCCTGGGTGAGGAGCCATGGAAAAGGCCCTAGAGTCAGTCATGAGAGCACTGTTTTACATTTCTTTTCTATCTGTGAGACACTCACATACACAAGAGAATCATAATTACTACAGTTCATGGATTTCTGGCTCCAAATAAAAAGGCCTGATGTTTTCAGTACCTTTGCAATCATCGTTCTGGGACGTGTGTGGATTCTATGAGGTATATGAAAGTACTGAGAATCGCTCAAACAACCTGCTTATGGCCTGCGGTTCTCTGATGCGAATCTCGGATCTAGCGTTGAAGGGAGTGAGGATGGGGCTTCTCCAAGAGACCCTGTTCCAAAAGCTTCACATCGAAGCTTCCAGCACACTGATCGGAGTGGCCAGTGCTGTGGAGGGTAGACGGAGATACTGAAACTTCTCCGGGCAACAGGAGGAGCCAGGAAGCTGGGAGAGTCATTCCCAGCATGGCGGCCGGACTCTGGGGGCCGCAGGAGCGGGTTGGGATTCCACCTCAGCCGGGCACTGTGGTTGAGTGGTGCCCACCCCACCCTGTCTTCTGTGCAACCTCTGCCCCCAGCACACACCACCCCACAGTGAAGGGTCTTTTCAGTCACACGGCATCTCGGCCAGCATTCAAGTCCAAGCCCCCTCTGCCCACATCAGCCCCAGGAGGTAAGCATGCCCCATGCAACTAAGAGCAGAAAGGACCCCTGGGTGGTGCTGCTGGCTGCGCCTTTCGCCGAGTGAGGGTTCTCACTCAAGTGTGCAGAGTTCGCCGGCAGGGAGGGGCTGTGAGGATGGGGTCTGGAAGTGACCTTAGGTCTGTTACTGAACAAGCTGCGTGAGGCTGGGCCGGGCAGTTGATCTCCGTAAGCCTCAGTTTCCCTGACTGTTCTGAGGTTGCTGGTGCCTACCTGGAGCCTGCCGAGAGCAGCCCGGGAGACCAGCGGGCAGCCGCCGCACAGAAGAGCAGGACCCTCTCCAGTGCAGCGTCTAGCTCGAGCCGGCATCTGCTCGGAACCGCACCCTGTGCCTCCTACACAGCTGCGTGACCTCACAGCCACCGGTTAGGTGAGCTCGTGGCCCTGGGCGGCCCTCCGGCTAGGAAGCCCTGGCGGCCAGGCTCTCGTGTTCTGTGTGAGTGTCTGGCAGGGGCGACCCTCCGCTGGAGGCCGTGGGCATCAGGCCTGACGGCTGGCGGGCTGTCAGCCCTGAGGAGGAGAGAGAGCGGGTCATGATGTCTCATCATCCAAGGGGTGATTAGCCCAGGGAGAACCAAAGATGGGGTGTCCGGGGTTCTGGTCACTCTCACAGTCTGGGAAGTGAAGGGGCCGGCAAAGCCAAAGGGCTTCTTCCCCTGCTCCTAATTCTAAGCCCATGAGCTCCTCACAAAAGGCAGGACAAGTAGGCTGAGAGAGCCAGGTGTCCCAGAGGCCCGAAAAGACAACGCTGGTGACCTATGATTTCTTGCGAAAAGCGGCAGAGACAGCTGTGACAGCGACCGGTTGTCACTGGAGAGAGTGACAAGCCCATGTGGGCCTTGCAGCCTGGAGCGTGAACAGCTCTAACAGCTGCTCCTCAGGCTCCGTGTCTGTGTTGCCACGGTCACACTTCCTGCCAGAAACACACACACTGTCTCTCCCCGTCAGCTGCCAGACTAGACGTTGGCTCTTGAACCCAATGGCCAGGGATCAGCCCACCTTTCCCCATCATTCTCCAACTGCAGGCCACGGGCAAATGTCTTGGAGCAAATGGCTGCAAGCCTATCACTTTGTCTGGCAACTGAGAATAAAAGCAGCAGTGTGGGGTGTGTGTGTGGGGGGAGTGTGTGGGGAGCTAGCTGTCACACCCCAGAAGCAGCTCCAGGAGGGGGGTGTCACCAGCTTGTGCAGGTCTTGCCCCGGCAGCCCGGGCAACGGTCACTGTGTGGCCTGGCCTGGGGAGCCAGAGAAGCAGTAGGGGGCGGGGTTCTGGGTGCCCCCACGGAGGTGCCAGAGACCCTGCACACAGAGTCCATGCACACAGATGTGCTGGTCCCCAGACTACGTCGCTTACTCGGGGCGATGTGGGCAAGCTCACTGCCTGGCAGGCAGGGCTCGGAGGGCCACCAGAGCCGTGGGGTTTGCATCTGTTCTCATTTCAATGGCACTGGCTGGTTAATACCCTTGAACAGTGTTTGCGATGTGGCTCCTGCAACCGTGTGCGCAGTTCGAGGTGTGCGGATGTGCAGCCATGGGCATGTGTGGCCCTGGTGAACGCAGCGGAAGCCTCAGCAATTCTCGGCCTTCACCCTGCTGGGGGAGCAAGGGTGGCCTCGCAGTTTGTGCCCCTCCCAGCCGGGCCGCCACCTGCCCCCGGGCAGACATTTGGTTTTGACATGCGCACAGCAGACAGCTGGGCTCTGAGTCAATGAGGTGTCATGCCCCCTTTGCCCTTTTCTGAACTTCTTTCACACATCACCTCTTCTGTTATTTACCAACGTCCATCGATTGTGTGAGACACACTTTTTCTTTCATATTTTCACATTACTGATTTGGGATGCAGCTCAGAATTGATGGATCAAAAGCATTGCCCATAGTTTATTGGAAGTATTTTTTTTTCTTTCTTAGCACTTACTTCATAAAATAACAATGAATCTTATACTCAGTGGCATCTTAGATTCGAGGAAATAAAATCCAGTGCTTAGATTTTCATCTTCAAATCAACTCCCTGTTTTACTCAAATGTACTTATCTTAAAAGGCAACTTTTATCATGGCTTTAAATGATAGCATCTGATGTGCTGGTTATATTTCTCCTTCCTAGACATTAGATAACCTATAATCTTTACAGTTCACCTAGATGGGGGCGGGGCAGTCTGCCCCCAGCGGGTCCCCCCTCCGCCCGGCCGTGGCCTCACCTTCCCACCCAGTCCAGGGGCAAATTCCTGGGCTCCACCTCCCAAAGGCATCCCTGGCCTTCCTCCCACCGCTCTCAGCTCCGTGCTCCCTGGCCAGACACTGCAAAGGTCCCCGGTCTCCTGGTGCCCCAGCTTCCACTCTCCCCAAAGCTAATGCATTTCTTTTTCTCTTCGCATCTATTATTCATCTTATGTCGTTTCCTCTCTCAAAGCTCCTTTGTGTTTAAACATTTTCTCTGTTCTTCTTAGAGGCTCTGTGTTTCTTATGGATCCTGGAAGTTGGAGTGATCAATACATCTTCTTTTCATTCCAGGCCCTGAGACAGTGGCATTTACCCAGAGGGACACTGGCTTCATTCTTGAGTGAAGGCCACCGTGAGCCCTGCAACGCCCTGCACACCGTGCGCCACTGTGTGTGTCGGGATCGGCCTCGGGAAGGAGGTCTGGGCTCCCACGGTGTTGGCAGGTGGGGCCATCTCATCACCCAGGTCTCCTTCCTACACACTGGTCTCATGTCACTCTACTTTTTTCTCCGCAGCACCAACCACTGTCAGATTTTTTCTTATTTGTTTAAATTTACCCATATGTGACCACTCCCCTGGCTCGAACACAAACTGGCTGGGATTCTGGAAAGCAAGGATCCCCATAAACAATCCTTGCCTTCCTGTGGGCGTAGCTTTCAGTACCCTGAACGATTCGTGACCCATAGTAGGTGCTTAGTAAACGCCTGCTGAGTGGGCGAATGGATGAAGGTCGCAGAGCACATCTGAAGAGGCGGCCTGTCAGCGCCCCTCTCAGCAAGCCCTGTGATCCCCCTGCCAGCGCGGCCCTGTGCGGTCCCAACAAGTGGCGCCCAAGGCAGCCCCCCAGTGCCTCCCGAAATCTCAGGAAGACAGAGAAATGTCTTGGGCGCTACGGGGACGAAGCCAAGCGTCTCTACCCCATAGGTCTGCAGGGTGCTGTGCTGGATCCCGGGGGCACAGACGGCCTCTTCCAGAAGGTTCCTCACCTAAAGATGAGGTTGAGGCCAGCTCCAGACACTGTGGGGCGCTGTGTGCCTGTGAGCCCTGCCCCCCCCCCCCGGCCTTACCTTGCACAGGTGCTAAGGGCTCGTACACCACGCGGTAGCCCTGCAGCACACCGTTGGCAGCCAGCGGCTCGCCCCACGAGACGTTGAGTGTGGTGGAGGTTATTTCCGAGAACGCCAAAAAGCTGGGGGTCCCAGGAGCTGGAAGAAGAGAACATAAAGGGACTTTCACTGCAGCTCCCTTACAGAACATCTACATACAGATCTACACCTCCGTGAAGAATAAAAATGCTATTAGATGTTATTTCCAGCCCGCTAAAAGTCTAAAGGCCATGGGATGAAAGGAAGATTTATTGATCATCTCCAAACTTCCTAGGATCAATCAGAAACCACAGATCCACCCAAGAAGAGGAGAGAAAATGACGGTGTTTAAACACAAAGGAGCCCGAGAGACACAATGACAAAAGCATAAAAATGAATAATAGATGGAGAGTGAAAATGAAATGCAGGTTGCTCCACTGTTGAGCTGCTGCCGGAGGACCCCGTGGCTCTGGCCCTGCTCTTCTGGGGAGAGCAGGGTCCGTGTGCCCAGAGAGCTCTCCCTCCTCCCCCTCGCTCCCAGGGGCCTGCAGGCCTCAGGGGCACCCCTGCCCTCGGGCCTCCCCCCCCCCCACGCCCCTGACCTCGGGCCTCCCTCCTCCCCCCCCAGTCTCCGCCAGCTCAGTGACCGGAGTGGTCTGGAGAAAGGGCATTGCTAAGGGGCCAGTGTGAGCTGGGAGGAGTTACTAGAGGTGCAGAGGGCCGGGTGTGTGGCCAGGGCAACAGTGACCCCGCCTTTCTCCCCGCTCCCTGGCTCTCCATGATGGGCACTGGGACCCTGAACTGCCCCTAGCTGACTCTGCACCTCTGACCCCTCAGTGTCAGAAACGCCCCAAGTCAGCACCCTGGTGTCCCCTTTCTGTTCTCTCTCCTGCTCCAGGGGGGCCTCTGACTTCTGACTTGCCAGGGCACTGTGCCCCCACGCTCTGCTCTGCAGGTTCTCCCAGCTCAGGCTGCGAGCGAGCCCCCAGGAAGCGTCCTGTCATCGCCCGCTGTGCCCATCGTCACGCCTGAAGCTCGTCTCTAGGAGACTTGTGGAGGTAGGGCGCTCCTTGGCTGAACCCACAGAATGTTGGGGAGCCCAGTGGGAGCTGAGTGGCATGGGTGTGGCTCCACGTGCTCCCCATTTTCCTGGCCTTTGACTTCCTGGTTCTTACGGAGCGCCTCCTAGGGCTCCCCAGGCCCCAAGGCCACGCTGCAGTGTTCCCCAGACACCAGACTAAACTGCCTGGAGGGTACGATCCGCTTGGACACACGCTGTTCCTGTGTGTAGAGGCGGCCACGGCAGCGTGATGCTGGGCAGGGCAGCCCACCCACGAGAGACGGTGACTGTGCCCTGAGACCAGGTCAGCGCCTGATACTGGTGGCCACAGCCCCAGGATCTGCATGCGCTAGTGGGGGGCCCCTGATGGGAGCTGGAGTGAACCTGTCGGTGATGCACAAGGCCCAGGAGCAGATACAAAGTCCTCCTGCCTGCTCTCCGTCATCTTGGGGCTTCTACAGGAAAAGGTGCATCGCTCACATCTGTCTAATGCAGGTGAGGCCACCAGGCTCAGGCCAGGCCCTGGGGAAACTAGCTGACTCAAACCCAGAAACTCCTGGTTCTTCAGAAGCCCCAGCTGTATGGGATGTGGGTTACAGGGCAGGCACAGAAAGGCGGGCAGAGCGGGGCAGGGTTCTACTTCTGCCTGGACCGTCAGGGCCCTCCCCCGGGAGTTGACTCAGGTCTTGCTCTCCACAGGAGTGTCCCAAGAGGCCAGCGAAGGGGAAACAGGTCTCCTACCTGCCTGATGGGTGCGCCCCTGCCGGGGGTCGCTTCTGGGCCCGTCGCCGGCAGCATTAAAGGCAGAGATGCTGACCAGGTATTTGGTGTGGCTGCTCAGGTTCTTCAGCTTCACCGCGGTCTCGGGCAGGAACAGGACTTTCATTTTCTCAGTCTCGTTCTGACTGTCGGCCTCCCAGTAATAAATCTGTTAGGGAAAGCAAGAGCGGGGAGGTGGGCTGTGGGCAGGCTGAGCTGAGACAGGGGGTCACCTAGAGTAAGATGAGACCCTGGGGGCCTGGGTGCGCTCTCGGGTGCAGTTCTGGCTGGGGAGGGGGGTTCTGCAGTGGAATCAGGGTGCCCTTGGGTCAGTGCAGGGTGCAAGGAGATTCCTGGCTGCTCCTGTGTTTGGAAGCCCTTGGCGAGTGCTTCTGAGGTGTCCATAGTGTGAGCACCGCACAGATGACAGAGCTGTGCAGACCGGTGGGCGGATGGAGCATCTCTCCCTTCCAGAACTAGCTCTCTGGTGCCTTTACGTATGGCCTCTGCTCTTTCCCTGTCACCTTGAGAGGAGAAACACTAACTACATCTCCCCCTCCTCCACCTGACTAAAGAAAGCCCTCAGCTTCCACCCTGTGCTCCTGCATTTTGTTTGAGGCTCACAAATACCATGGGAAAAAGCCACGGGGGCTCGGCACTGTGGAGAGGCCCGTGCTCCCCGGGGTTCCACCCACCTCCTGTCATTCTGCAGTTCTGTGCCCCTGGGTGACCTCAATGCCAGTGAAGGAGAGGTGGCCCGAACTGCTTCCCTAGTCAGCTGACCCGGAACTGCTGCCCGAAGCTGGAGCCAGCCAGGGCGCCCAGAGGCCACACTGGTTCACGGGCCCGTCTTGGCTTCAGCCAAGTCTCCTGCGTGGCATGCATGCACCTGGGCATCCTGGAGGGGCCCCGACAGCGGGCATCACTCACTTCCTCCAGCGAGATGCCTCTAGCTTCTGCTCTCTGAACTGACCAAATAAGATGCTCTGCTCTAAGCGGCCTTAGTAACTTGAGATCAATATCCAGGTTCAATGTCTATATCGTTAAGGAAATTAGAAAACATATTTCGGACATACATAAATAGCTCCTCGCCTGCAGGCCCAGGGGCGTGCCGCTACCTCATTAATCACCGTAACAACCCTGCCGGGGAGGAAGGTATTCATTTTCATAAAACACCTACAAAAATCATTTTCAAATGGACATTTAATTGGTCCAATACTCATCAGGACAGGCTAAGCTATAGGATCTGATTACTGACCAAGCTGGCTTCCAGCGGATCAGACAAGGACATTCATCCTGGAGAAGGATGGGGGTTTCCCAGGAACATCCCGGGGCTCTTCTCTCCAGGGTGGTTGTGGCTGACCTCACAGGTTTCTAAGCCCTCTACACACACCAGCTCTGTAACGACTCATCCCCTACACGCTAGTTGGCATGGCTGTGGTAACGCTATTTCTAGACCACATAGTGAAATTGGAATCCTGAGTTTATTGTAATGGTTCTCAAAGCAGAGTTCCTAGGAACCACAGCTTCCTGGGGGTACGTCCTAGGAATGCAAATTCCTGGGTCCCACCCCCCATCTATGTGATCAAGGGACTCACACACTGACCCAGGGCAGAGCTGGGAAGGAGAACCTGTTCTCGGTGCACTCTGTTTTGTGGGCAACCAAGTTTCAGGGGTCCAGGAAGCAAGAGTCCTAGCCAGGCCGTGGTGGCCTGGGAGGGGAAGGCCGCTGGGCCAAGCCAGTCACGGAGTGAACCCAGCCCCCTTCCCCGCATGACGAGAGGCCAGGTCAGGCTAGGCTGGCTCCAGCCCTCGGTATCGCCCACGACGCAGCAGGCTGAGGGTTGGCTGTGTGTCCGCTATGGGAAATGGGTAGGACAAAGGGCACTGAGGCAGCAGCCTGAGGGCCGGGCTCCAGCAGGCACAGCTGTGCCTTGGGGGCTGGAGGCCGCAGATGCTGGTGTACAAGTGACCTGAGGAGAGAGACACGCAAGAGAGCATTGCCTTGTAGCCCTGGATGTTCCCATTCTGGCTCTCGGGTGGCGGCGGGTCCCAGGTCACCTCCAGCTGGCTGGCCGTGAGCGGGTTCACCTGGATGTTTTGTGGGGCCATGGCAGGGGCTGAAGAAAGAGAAACACAGGAGAGCAGCTGACACGTGTGTGTTCACAGGGGCAGGGCTCCTGACTCCAGGGGAGACGGTGTGAAGGGAGCTAGCCTGGCCCACGCTGCGTCTACGCCAGGAAGGCTGCCGGCCCTTCCCAGAGCTTGATTTTCTATGCATGGAGTAAAATACGCGGCATTCCAAAGAAACCCTGTGCCGCCGAGACACAGCGGGGTATTAGGAAACACAGAGAAGATGCGGCAATCTCTGTGCTTCACGCGCCACGAGATAGGCTGGGAGCTGGCCTGTGGGGGCGCGGTGGGTGTGTCGGGGAGGCAGACCCAAGGGGGGACTTCTGTGGGCTGTGCTGCCGAGTCGCACGTTCTGCCATCCTGCTGCGGCTTTCTGGCCACGTTCGTCACGAAGGGGGACGCCAGAGTCACGCGGGGCTTAGAGGGGACAAAGGCGTGGGCTCCCACCAGGCTCGAGTCCTGTGCTATGACGTCCTGCCGCACACACACTTTGTCTGCAGACACGGGGACGCGGACACACACGCCATCCCCCTTCACTGTCCTGTGAGGCCGCCCATGGCTTCGGATCGTGAGGATCCAGCCCTCGAGTTCAGTGCCCCCTCCCTTCCAGGGATTCTCCTGGGGGCTGTGTCTGTGAGAGTCTGTGAAAAGCGACCAAGGAAGACACCAGGGCCATGGCCTCCCGGGCAGCTGCTGGGTGCTGGGAATGACACAAGCACACAGGAGCGCTTTTGAGAACACGCCGTGCCCTGTGGTTTTCCAGTTTCTCACAGTCTTTGTTGGGCACGTGGGCAGACGTGCTGTCCTCTGCCTCCTGGGAGTTACTACCTGGACACTGACCAGTGAAACCTGTGCCCGGCTGGGTGCCGGGAGCTCGCGGAGCTGTGCTGGGGGCCTGGCTGTGGGAAGCAGAGGGCCAAACCAGTCCCGTCACCATTTCGGCCTGGCCCGCGGGCCCGGACGTCCTGTCTTTTGACTCCATTATGTTTACAGGCTGTAGATGGACACGGTCGCTGTCCGAGGGGCTCTCTGAAGGAGACTTCTTGGGAGAGAGTGACCTTCACGAGTCACCCCTTCCTCAGGTCTCCCCTCCTCATTTTCCTCACCCCCCACCCCATGTAGAATAAAATAGTAATTAACACCCACTCAGCCTGACACCAACTATTTATTTTGTTCTAACTGTGTGGTTCCCGTATTATCGCTGCCCACCCTGCCGTTAATGGAAATGTTAATAACCCGCACCAGGTTGTTGTGACAGATGCTCGGCCTCATTATCAGAAATTCTTATTTACCGCTCCATTAAACAACAGAATCACACAAAAAAACAATTCAATCAAAACTAACTGGAGGAATTTTAACAGCCACATTAATAATCCAAAACATAAATAAAGTTAATGTCTTTTGCATGTTTGCCATCGGCAACTCTATCGCAAAATTACTGTTGTACAATTAAAATGTGAAAGGCAAAATTGAGCATGGCCATTACCCTGGTAGTCGGTTAGGACTGTCTGTGTGCGGCCCCCACCCACCCAGGGCTTCCTCGGCACAGCTAAGAGAAGCCTATCCTGGACACAGGTGTCCTCCCTGAGCTCCAGCCGAATCCCTGAATTCCGGGATGCCTGTGCCATCCACTGGGGTTGGCCGCTGCCGGACAAAGCCCTCTGGCCCCCCTCAACCAGCTGAGTCACACCGCTGTCCCCCAGCTGAGATGCTTAATGTCCCCACTGGCTAACCCAAAGCAGAGCGCTTCGTGCCATAAAAATATTGCAGGTAAAGAAGACATTTTGATAATGACGCAGCGGGGAGAGAAGTACATGCGCACATGGAGCAAAGCGTGCTGGCTTAGACTTGTTCTTTGGCTCTGGGAGGCTCCTGCATTTCCACGCTGACACAAGAGCCCGACGGCCAGGGAGGCCCTGCTTACAACCCGATGTGCTTCTCATTCCACGTACAGTGTGTTCGGTTTGGGGGCCGCTGGAACATCTGCTGAATCATTATCTTTTGTTCTCCCACCTTAGCATTTTTTATGGTGTACGGGGAACATGACTATCAGCTCGGAATGCTGTTTTTGGGATATTACGAAGTTATTTTATAAATGCCTTGCAGCCCAGCCATTTCTGGCATGTGGCGATAGACAGCTTGCAAACAACATGAATGCAAAGATCAAGGTGCAAAACGGAGATCCTCTCCGCGGGTCTCATGGCAGGGGTGACAAGGCGCTCGCAGACTGTGACTCAGAGTCTGGGGTGGGATGGCTCCTGCCGCCTGGCCCTGGGGAGAGGAACTTGCTCAGGAAGTAGCAGGGAAATTTCTGGGATTTCTGGAGGCAACTGGATTAATAGTAAAATTCCAGAGGTTTCTGGGATTCTGGCTGACGGCTTTGGGAGCCCCGCAGAGTTGTGGGCAGGGTGCTGGTGGGCTGGCCCCAAGGGTCACTGGGTGGGCACTCTGACCTGGGGTGCCCATCCAGCATCAGCTGGACCAACCAGCAGCCCTGGGAACACAGTGGCTATCCCTGACTCGGTCTCATTTTGCTGGTGAGAGCAAAGTGCTGGTTCTTGGCCTCCTTATGTCATGTCCACCACATCCAGGAAAACCTGGGCTACTTAGCAGGCCAGAGCCTCAGTCAGTCCCGAGCTGCAGGACCGCTCACGTGAGCATTCAGAACCTCGCTGCGAGGTGGGGTGAGTGCCCATGTGCTCAAATCACAAACGGGAAGGGGAAACAGCTGTGAAGAGTTACAAACAGGTTATAAAACTTGAGAACTCATGGGGAAAGTTCTGGAACTGGAGGTCTTGTCACCTCTGCAGTGAGACTCAGAACACCTACTGCCTCCTGTAGAAGAGCTGTCACCCAACCACGGACAGTGCCCTGCTTGGGGGGGACACCGTGTGCGTCCCCTAGTCTGATGTCAGGGAATAGCAGGAAGTGTAGACAGAGGCACCAGGGTCACTTCCCAGCAGAAGCTTCCGGGGTTGTGTGGCCACCCCATGCTCCCAGCACCACAGGGGTCTGCTCGGTTCCTCCTCCATGTCCCGAGGACAACAGGAAGCAGGAGGAAGGCTGCCAGAGCAGGAAAGACGGGATGGTGCGGGCTAAAAAGGCCACTGGCATGGCCACTGGAATTTGGGGTGACTGGCTGCCACGGCATAACTTTGCTGAAATTTTCCTGAATATTAATCGGGCTCTGAGCTTAGGTCTGAGGGGAGAGTGGACACAAAGATGTAAAAGACAAGGTTAGCAAGAGAGGAAGGCAGTGGTCGTCACACCGGTGCGGGCAGGCTCGAAGGTCCACGAGGCGCGTGTGGGGTCTTTCCCAGAAAGCAAAACTCTAGCCAAGTTTTGGGTGATGGCCAGAGGAACCTGGGTGCTGTGGGAGGTGGGACTGCTGAGCAGCAGCACAGAGGTGACAGCAGAGTGTCTGAGGGTGCATCAGGCACACGAGAATTCTGGTGCTCCAGTGGTGGAAGGCCAGGCGGGCTTCTGCCGTGCTGGGCCATGCTGGGCTTCTATTTTTCACTTTTTGTAACCCAGTGACTATTATTTGGGTAGAATAAGTTTTTAACTGAGGATCATTGTCCATATTTTAATATAATAAGTATTAGTATATATAATTAAAAAATGTTAGAGAGTCATCCTTTCGCTTTCATTACATCACCATTTTTCTGGTCAAACACTCTGATTTCCTGCTGAAGTCAGTAAGAAATAGAATTTTCTAAGGTAATTTAGCTTCTCAGCAAAATCTGTTCCCTGAGCAGGGAGGCCGGAGACCACCTTCAGGTCTGGGTGATTACGGAGCCCCAGAGCCTCCCTGCTGTGTAAAGGGGGCTTCCGTGGGCCCCTGGGCTTCAGCTCAGTTGGGGTCCAGTCACCGTTGGAGACATAGCAGTGATTCAGTACAGAGCGGCAGGAAAGGAAGGAAGGAAGGAGCGGAACCTGGAAAGATGAGCCAGGAAACAGGTTTCTCATCTGCAGGCACACAGACGTCTAGAAGAAAGGCCATGCCTGTGGGGCAGCCAGCCACCAGCTCCCTCAGCTACTGGGGCTACAGCACCTGGGCGCTACGGCTGACGTCATCAAAAGGAAATGATCAACTTAGGAATCTGTAACAAGCACGGGGGATTGGCTCACCTTCCTTTCAACCTAAAACCCTGTCACCCCAGGAATCCCAGACTTCTGAAGGGAAGGACCACGAGGTGAGACCTGGCTGCTGGCTGCGGGGACCGTGGTGCTCCAGCAGCCGTGGGACCCGCCAACACTGCACCTGGCTGGCGCCGCTCACAGCCCTGCCAGGTGAGACAGCTCCCTGCACACAGACAGAGGGACTGAGGCCCAAAGAGGTTACCTCGCCCAAACTCCCTCAGCGAGGTGCTAAAGCCTCTCTCTGAGCCCTCCCACAGAATGCCTAGGGGCAGGCAGGGGTCCTGGGCCGCCCCTTCTGCCTGCCGCATCTCCGCTGCCACACTCTGCCTCAAACCCCAGCCCCAGTCTCCTCTTGGCACCTCCTTCCTGAGCCAGAACTGGAAACAGCTCTAGGGACGCAGAACAAGAAAAATCAGGAAACCGGTCACCAAAACGGTTTTCAGAAACGTCCGTGACACGCACTCTGGGCATGGACCCCGGACAGGAACTGTAAATGGGAGGTCATGGGGAAAGCCCCAGCTGGTGAGTTTTAGGATCTGGGCTCAGTGGGTGGGACAGAGGACATTCTTTAATCTGAGGCTCTGTGTCATAGGTTGCCAAGTGAAGACCCATCTAAAACTGCTTAGAGAAGACGTGGCCACGGAGGCCGCCGCCCGCACCTGCCCGAGGGCAGCCTCTTCTGCCGTGCGGGACCCACGTGCGCGGGGCTCACCTGGAAGCGGGCGCTCGGGTCCGGTAGAGAGGGGAGGGACTACACCACAGTGCGGCGACGTGTTCATATATGCCCCTCCCCTGGGGGTCCCTCACAATTAAGAGCGGCTAAGGTGTGGCCGGGGCTCTGCCT